GAGCTCGCTCAAGAGTGCGAGCTCTGAGCAACAGGGTCGCCAGTTCGATTCCCGGCCCAAGCTGAGCTGCCAACAGGTGGCAAGATGGCTCAGCTAAACAACAACAACAAAATTCCTCACGAGACCCATGTAAGCAAATAAAGATGCCTCACATATGACTCTTGTCCCTCTCTGGCACTTACTGTGCCTCGGCACTGTCCCCAATGCCTGACACACAGTAACTCACTCCCCTTCACTGCAGCCCTGGGTGGAGGGATTTAAAGAGGAAGCTGCAGCCCCGAGAAATCACAGCTAGGAACTTGCAGAGGCGAGGCTGAAGCCCCGACAGTGCAGTCTCAGGACGTCCGTGATCTTCACCCCTGTGCTCCAGCCTCCGAGGGAAGCACCACTGACACGGACACAAGGCGGCTGAGCGGCAGGCAACATACGTGCCTTCAAGGAAACGCGGGCATGGAGCTCAGAAGAGGGAGTGAAGGCTTCCAGGAGGGGGTCAGTAAAGAAAGACATTACGAAGGAAGTGTCATCGGCCAGGGACTTGAAGGGGACGGTGGGTGAGACTATGGAGAGCTGAAAAAAGGGACATTCACGGCAGGGAGAACAGCAGGAACAGTGGTGAGGTAGAAAGGAACGGGGGATGTTAGGGCCACGGAAAGTATTACAGTTTGGTTTGGCCAAGCAGAGCAGTGACACACAGTGGTAGATGCGACTGTAAGGGCAGGCTGGGACCAGATCCTAGAGAGCAGTAAATGCCATGCTATTGATGCTCTGACTTTGCTGGTGACTGAGAATAGGAAGGGGCGTGATCTGAATCGTACTTTAAAAAGACTCCCCTAACTGAAAAGACAGACAAGGGACTCAAAAACTGAAAATTAATTTTACTATTCTCTTCTACATACAGAAGTAGGGGGACTGCTTGGATTCTAAAATACCTGACAATAATAATAGTAGCAGTAGTAATAATAATAATAATAATAATAATAAATTTTTTTAAACTTTCAAACTTACCACTAACGCAGAAGAGCACATGCCAAATGACAGAACCCATCGTAAATTTAGCCGATCCCCAACAATTCCGCTGATGAAAAGGCCCTAAAACCAAAGCATTTTAGTTTAGTTTAGTTTACAGCTCTGAATAACCACACAGCCTGAAAAAAACAAGATGTATCGCAAAGCCAGTAAGGCAAACAATACACTGAGATTACTTAAAATAACTCATCCTCATGTCTAGGCTAGCTGTGTGTATCAGTTTCACGAACATTTCATGAAATGACATGGGCTTCTGTGCACTACATTGTAAACACCTCGCAATTCAGTGTGTCTTGTGTCCTACTTGATTCCCTGACTGCCTAAAGGGAGACTAAAAAAAGGGGTTAAAAAGCAAGGATAATTCCAATAAAACAAGCACACAAATACATTTCATTTTCTAGAACAGATGACTCCTAAACATCGGTTATCTGCTTTCCCAAAGGGATTCCTCTTGCCATCTGCCTTCTGATAACGTGTCGCAGCAGGTCCTACACAACAGCGCTTCTGCAGCACAGGTGCTGCCTGTCTAACCCGGCCCTGGGGTATAGTGTCATCACGAGGAAGGAAAGGAGGGAGGCAGAGGCAGTAATGAGCTGAACAGAGGTACACATGTCTGCCTTCTTGCTCTCCTCCCACTCAGGGGCAGGAATTAAGATGCTCAGATCACAGGCAGCAAAGCAGACTAAAGAGCTAAAGGCAACAACACACTTTAGTAGGTTTCTTCCATAAACACATGAAATAAATAAATGTCTCAGCTGAAAACCTAAATTCAGATACAAGTGTTTCTAATAAACTATCTATATTGGAGAAAATTTAGATGATAAACATCGTAACAAATGTTTCTCCTTCACTATCGACAAGCTTTCCATGACCTCCAAAGAGGCACCTGTAAACATCAGAGGAGATTCTGTGTTCCATTACTGCCACTCATGTGGTCCTACGCTACATGGAATAAAGGGGCTGAAGAGAATCTCACAGCTATGATTCAGATTAGGGAATCGATTTAGTCTGTGTTGCTCCAAATGCCTGCACAATACCTGGAAGTAAGAGAAGGAAACGCAGCTCAGTACTAAGAACTATGATCCCTGACTTTCCATGGCACTTATCTTTTACCTCTAAACCCAGTTAACCCTATAGATAGGTATTGTCATCACAATGCTACAGACAAGGAAACTATCAAAAAAAAGTTAAATGCCATTGAGAAACCAGGTTTAACACAGCTAGCTGACGGTGGTAGAACTGGTTTTTCCACCAGGCTACACTGCTTCTGAAAATACTTCATAAAAGGCTCAAAGAGAAGCCTCGCTGGGAGTGCGTCGGACAAAGCCCAGTGACCACAGATTGGGATTTTGTACAGAAAACGCCCAGGGGGAGGAGCTAGGCTACAAGATCTAAGTGCTGCTGCAACAGCGCTTAAGTTGTCCATAAATTTCCACTTCAAAAATAAGACATTCCAATAGTTACCCGAATAAACGTTTAGAGATTACTTCTGGACTTTCATCCAGGATTTCATATCACCTGGACATTCAAAATGAAAAGGCTTTTGAATAACTAGACACATTTTCAAGATAGGAGATAAGATGCTGGGGAGCAAAGGTCAGACTGCGCCCACAGTGCCCAGTTCCAGCTGTTGCCACCACTGGCCCCACAGCTCTAACTCGGCCACCACCACAGATGTTCCCTACAACCAGGGACTCTGGCTGCCCAATCTGAGAAGAACACCTCACACAGTCGGCCCCTGCCATCCTGGTAGGGCTCCCGGGCTGGGCACCACCCGCTGCCGCTGCTACTCCGCACTGCCCCGTCCCGTGCCATTCCTCATCTTCCCTACCTCCAAATACCAGAAGCCCCGTGGCTCAGCCTTCACACCTCCTCCCTGTCCTCCCCAACTCCCTTGATGATTTCATCCAGCCTCATAATTTTAAAACTCTACATGCAAAGTACTCTGAAACTTGTACCTCCAGCCTGAACCTCTACACACTGACCACCCACTTCAGGTCTTCGTTCAAACATCCCCTTCTGGGGGAGGTCTCACCCAGGCATCCTACTTAAATGACATCCCCCACCCAGAGCTGTCTATACCCCTTTTCCTGCTTTATTTTTCTCCACAGCACTTACCACATTTAAATATACTCTATAATTTATTTATAGCATTTTGTTACTGTTTTGTCTCTCTAAGCTCCTACTCCAAGAATATAAGCTTTATAAAGGTAGGGATTTTTCCTGTGATGAATTCCAATTGACTGGAAAAGTACCTGGCATGTGCTAGGTGCTCAGTATTTGTCAAATGAATGGATGGATGAGGAGGGCACAAAATATGAACTTCAGCAATACTCAACTCTCCTTAGGCAACAAATTCAAAATCTCTTCCAAACTTCATAAAGTTTGGAGTGATTTCCTTTTACACCTTTCCTCAGTTCAAAACCTGGGAACTCTCTAACTCACCACGGCATAGGAGAAGAGGAAGATAGTATCCAGCGTCCCGAGGAAAAGAGTGGCTTCCTCCGCATTGGGAAACAGATGGTTGCTGCTCCAGACCTGCAGGAATGCAACAGCATGTGAATCCCCGCTGGCACCTGGAGGAGCCCTTGGATTTCTCAGGGCACCCTCACATACAGCCTCCACCCACTCTCACGGACACCAGAGATGGTGAAAGAGCCCATCAGTACTTTGGACACAGGGAACACACACACAAGGTCAAAGCTGTCTTCATAACACAGTAGTCCCCCCTCATCTCAGGTTTTGCTTTCCGCAGGTTCAGTTACCTGTGGTCAACTGAGGTCCAAAATATTACAGTATTTTGAGAGAGAGAGAGAGAGAGAGAGAGAAAGGGAGAGAGAGGGAGAGGGAGGGGGGAGGGAGAGAG